TTATTATTATTATTATTATTATTATTATTATTATTATTTAATTTCTATCTTATACGCTACAGTTTTCGAGTCCACAAGCTTAAAGCCGAGCGTTAAAGATCAGGTAGATCGATCCGAAACCTCCGTCTTCCTCAAGCTCAATAACGGCTTCGTTTTGTGTTAGCCGTTTGTTTAAATTTCGTGCTTAAATCTCGTTTCATTTTTTCTCTTGCGCCTTCCTCGTCAACATTCATCGATCAAGCGATCCTTTCGTTGGCTTTCCAATTTTGCCAAGAAAGATCGTGAAAAGTATTGTATCTCGCTTTTTCTCTCTTTCTCTCTCTTTCTCTTTCTCTCTCTCTCTTTCTCTCTTTCTCTCTCTCTCTCTCTCTCTCTCTCTCTCTCTCTTTCTCTATTTTTCACACGTATACACACACGATGAACATATCATATATTACGTCGATATTTTTCTTTGATCTTCATCATCCTCAACAAAAGATATATATATATATATATATATATATCATCGCTCTATCTCTCTCACGCACACGAATATCGCGAGGTTTCTGATAGGTTTCGTTAAATCTCTCGTATTGTTTTTGTCGTCACAACGTCGATCAAGTTAGTAGTTCGTCATACACCCCCACATTCGCGAGCCACAACGCGTCCCACCTCCAAAGACGACCGACCGACCATTCAAGTACCCCTCGGAGTGTTTCCGAGATTCGTTCCAACCCTTACTCCTTAAGGCACCTTTCCACACCAGCCTTACCTTGCCTTCACCTCACATGTCTCGCCTCGTTCATTTTGTACGTGCATGAGAAGGAAGTAGTTTGTAGTGGTACATGCATGCTTTTCTCTCTTTCTCTTTCTTTATCTATCTCTAACTATTTCTATCTTTTTCTCTAACTCTTTCAGTCTTTCTCTCTCTCTCTCTCTCTCTCTCTCTCTCTCTCTCTCTCTCTCACTCACTCACTCACTCACTCACTCTGTCTCTCTCTCTTTCTCTCACAGCTTTTTTTACTCCGAGTAGAAACATGAAATATGGTCTTAACATGATTTCTTAATGCGGTACAGCATGCAAGCCGTGCTTAAGTACATACATCGTAGAACTTCTTGCATGCATTTTCAGTGAGTTCTTTCAGCAGCCTTTCTTAGTTGATCTTCATACTCTCGGTTCATGCTGGTAGATACCCGCATAGTCATCTCAAAGTTCCATATGCTTTTATTAATAGTATGATCTGCTCGTTGCGGTAGCGGAAGCGAATCGACGTTTGCATGTAATAAACGTGATCTAATTTGTCCTGGATCTTTTTGTTCGCCTGGTGTTTTGCAGATAGGATTTAGTTTTAAATGAAATGTTTTTATCTCTTATATATTCGATAATTTATTTGAAAAAAGATCTAGGGCAATAGAACGATCTGCTTCCGGTTTACTGCTATAATAGACTAAGCAAAAAGAACGCAGCACTAATCGATTTATTCTGTCACAGTGCCACCTCGTTGGATTCTGGAACCTACTGATAAAGCTTTCGCACAAGGCTCTGATGCACGCGTTGAATGTAAAGCCGATGGTTTCCCGAAGCCCCAGATCACATGGAAGAGAGCTGCTGGTGAGTATTTTCGTTTAAGTTTTAGTTTTCTTAACTATTACAAATCCGCAGTAATTATTTATTTTTAATTTCACTAAATAGGAGATACTCCTGGTGATTATACTGACTTGAAATTGAGCAATCCCGATATTAGTGTTGAAGATGGAACCCTCTCGATCAATAACATTCAAAAGACCAATGAAGGCTATTATCTTTGTGAGGCTGTTAACGGTATTGGAGCTGGACTTTCTGCTGTCATTCTCATCTCTGTTCAAGGTAAAATTCTTCTCTTCCTTTCTCCCTTACTTTTTAGTATTTGTATATAAACTGTTTGTTAATACTAAGACAATTGATAATTTCAGCACCTCCTCACTTTGAGATCAAGCTCAGAAATCAGACCGCACGACGTGGTGAACCAGCTGTATTACAATGCGAGGCACAAGGCGAGAAACCAATTGGCATTTTATGGAACATGAACAACAAGAGACTTGACCCGAAGAGTGATTCACGTTATACCATTCGAGAAGAGATTTTGGCTAATGGTGTTCTGTCTGATCTTAGTATTAAGAGAACTGAAAGAAGTGACTCGGCTTTGTTTACCTGTGTTGCAACGAATGCTTTTGGCAGCGATGATACCAGCATCAACATGATTGTTCAAGGTACGATCTTTAGACTAAAGTTTCAAAGTTATATATTTTACTCGATAGTAAAGAAATTTTTACCAATATGATTTCCTTGCAGAGGTACCGGAAGTTCCTTATGGTCTTAAAGTATTGGATAAGTCTGGACGTTCAGTTCAATTGTCATGGGCAGCTCCATACGACGGAAATAGTCCCATTAAACGATACGTTATCGAATACAAAATCAGCAAGGGCTCCTGGGAAACCGATATCGATAGAGTACTTGTGCCTGGCTCTCAACAAAACGTAGCTGGTGTGTTCAATCTGAGACCTGCCACAACTTATCATCTCCGAATTGTCGCTGAAAACGAAATTGGAACGTCTGACCCATCTGATACCGTAACTATTATCACTGCCGAAGAAGCTCCAAGTGGCCCACCTACTTCCGTCAGAGTCGATGCTCTTGATCAACATACTCTCAAGGTAACTATCTCAAAATCGAATTTCTGATCATTCCATAATTAGTAACAAATAGTTTATTAACGAAGTTAAATATATTTAGGTAACCTGGAAACCACCCCCACGTGAAGACTGGAACGGCGAGATTCTTGGCTATTATGTCGGCTATAGGCTTTCATCCTCAGACAAACCATACATGTTTGAAACCGTTGAATTTTCTAAGGAAGATGGAAAGGAACATCACTTGCAGATCATGAATCTTAAGACCTACACTCAATACAGCGTCGTTGTTCAAGCATTCAACAAAGTTGGTTCTGGACCGATGAGCGAGGAACGAAGACAACACACGGCTGAAGGTGTACCCGAGCAACCACCCCACGATACGACTTGTACTACTCTCACTTCGCAAACTATCAGAGTTTCATGGATGTCGCCTCCTCTTAGTGCTGCAAATGGTGTTATTACTGGTTACAAGGTAATAAAATCATTTACATCAAAAATACATTACGAAGTTATTTGCTATATATATATATATATATATATATATATATATATATATATATATATATATATATATGTATGTATGTATGTATAAACATATATATATGTTTATTCTTAGGTCATTTACGGTCCATCTGATACCTGGTATGATGAGAATACGAAGGATACCAAGATCACCTCCTCCAGCGAAACCATTTTACATGGCTTGAAGAAATACACAAATTACAGCATGCAAGTTTTGGCCTTTACCTCTGGTGGCGATGGCGTTAAATCTGCACCGATCCATTGTCAAACTGAACAAGATGGTAAGTTTTAATTTTGAAAGCATCAATAACATTTTATACAATTTACTGATAATGTATCTCTCTTCTCTTAGCCCCTGAAGCACCAATCGCCGTAAAAGCACTCGTCATGTCTCCTGAATCGATTCTCGTTTCTTGGCGCCCACCAAATCAACCAAATGGAGTAATATCGCAATACACTGTTTACACTAAAGCTGACAATGCAGAGGAACCAACTAGCCAGAAAGTACCACCAAATCAATTGACTTACGAAGCTACTGGACTTGACAAACAACGTAGATACGAATTCTGGGTAACTGCTAGCACAAACATTGGTGAAGGAGAAGCTTCTAAGATTGTGACATTGGGACCAAGTGTACGAGGTAAGAATTGAGTTTTCTTTTATTTTATAATAAATACCGTGTAAATATTTTAATAATTTAATTTTTTTCTCTTTATTTATAATGTATGTACAGTACCGGCCAAGATTGCATCATTCGACGACAAATTCACTGCAACTTACAAGGAAGATGTAAAACTACCCTGTCTTGCTGTTGGCGTACCTGCACCGGAAGTAACATGGAAAGTACGAGGCTCTGTTCTTCAACCCAGTGACAGATTGAGACAATTACCAGAAGGATCTCTATTCATTAAAGAAGTCGACCGTGCCGATGCTGGAGAATATTCATGCTATGTTGAAAACTCTTTTGGACATGATACCGTTACTCACCAACTCATCGTTAATGGTAATTGTCGATATGAATAATTATAACAAAATTTTGAATTGAAGTCTTTCATTAATATTTGATGGTTGACTTTTTAGCTCCACCACATTCACCACAAGTCACTCTTACTGCTACCACCACGAATTCGCTTACGATGAAATTACGACCTCACCCAACTGATAATGCACCTATTCATGGATATACGATTCACTACAAACCTGAATTTGGCGACTGGGAAACTGTTCAAATTAGTTCTACGGCACAGAAATATACTCTGGAAAACTTATGGTGCGGTTCTCGATATCAGATCTATGTTACGGCATATAATGGGTAAGAATAGGTCTTATGTATATCGGTTTATCAATAAAAATAAATATGATTATACATAAATGTATTTTAAGCATTGGCACTGGCGACCCATCAGATATTTTGAACACTCGTACCAAAGGATCTAAACCCATCATTCCTGAAGCAGCAAGATTTATTGAAGTATCAACCAACAGCATTACTCTTCACTTGAGCGCTTGGTCTGACGGTGGCTGCCCCATGTTATACTTTGTCGTTGAGCATAAGAAGAAGTAAGAGCCAAACAAGAAATTTAATTAAGAGTTTACGTAGCAAATTTGAGATAACAAAGTTCGTCTCCTATTTTAGGCATCAGCAAGAATGGAATCAGGTATCGAACAATGTTAAACCAGGCGGTAACTTCGTAGTTTTGGATTTGGATCCTGCTAGCTGGTATCATCTTCGTGTTACGGCTCATAATAATGCCGGATTCGCGGTAGCCGAGTATGAATTTGCAACTTTGACTGTAACTGGAGGTGGGTATACCGTAACTACGCTTGATGCGTTTGAAAGCATCTCGTAGCCGGTGCTAATGGTGGCTGGATTGAACGGTCGCCGTATTTTTTGTTCCAGGCACCATTGCACCGGCCCGCGAATTACCGGATATTATCGGTGGTGGCAACGATGAAGATCCGGTGAAATTTTTCATAGCTAATTTGAATCTAGTCGTACCTGTGGTAGCCGCAGTTCTTGTTATAATCGTTGCCGTCATCGTGATCTGTGTTTTAAAAGGAAAAGGCCATGGTAGTGATAAAGGTAATTATAATGGTCTTTTTTTTTTTGTTTATTTTGTACAGGTACGATTGCTCCGCCGGTACGTAACGATGATAACAAGAATACCGACGTCAGACGTTATTTCCCATGGTTACCGAGTTGGCTCGATGTTAACGTTGTAGTACCGGTTGGAGCTACGATCGTTGTCATTATCGTAGGAATTGTCGTCATTTGCGTCGCATTGTCTAGACGAACCCGAGGCCCGGAACAAACACGGCTGCGAGGTATCTCTTCAGCCGACGAGAAATATTACGAGGGACAATGTATACCAATTTTTTTTTTATTACTTTATTCATTAGGTTACGAAAAGAAATCGAATAATTGAGTATCACTGTGATGATGATTTTAATATGGAAAAATTGATATAAATTTTAATATTGAAATGCTATAATATTTAATAATCAATCTACAGATTCTGATCGTGATCATCCTCCCAGTGATTCTTTACCAATCGTACATAGTCATTACCAATAATATAATGCACTTCAATGTATTAACATGTTATGAGAAAACACATGATATATGGTATTAATGTAAGCAAACACATTTATTTTTTCTTTCAGATGATGTAGTATATCAACAAACCGGTGTTGGTGGCGCTACACTCGACAAACGCAGGCCTGATCTCCGAGATGAATTAGGATACATCGCACCACCGAATCGCAAACTTCCACCTGTTCCTGGCTCCAACTATAATACTTGCGATCGCATCAAGCGAGGTACAGTGATAAGTAAGCCACAATTGACAAAAGTTTGATATTTAGATGATTCTCCATTATTACTGTTTGAATGTTGTCGCATCGGCACGAGATAGTTTGACCATATCTTCTTACGGAACACGAGAATTTCGCACAGCCAGCCGATAATACGAATTTCAAAGCGGTATTCATTATTAAGAATCAACGTGCAAGCAAACACAATACACACGCATTATATCATTACCGTCTAGATTTTGTTATTATTTATGTTGGCTACGCTTAAACATATTTTGCATTCCTAAGTATATACATATACTATATTATATATATACACGTGTAAAGATGTATACCTTGCTTTAAGACGAAACATTTTTTTCCTTCGTATGCGCTTATAACGTCGCTGCGCGTACCAAGAATCGAACATGATTAACGAAATTTCTCTGGTCTTGGTATTATTGTTCCTTTTTTTTTAGAAAAGAAAGATCATTTAAAAACTAGATCTCGGTACACAGCTTGGTAAGCGGCAGCGAGTCGTACGATTGTTGTAGCATATGTTCGATAGGTACAACAGGTTCGTTGAGAAGCCATTCAACGTGGGATCCAAGGAGGCACATGTATGAGGAATTAAATCATTGTGCACCAAGCAGAAGGTGCCCACCTCCACCGCGTATGGGCAGTTCGGAGGGCCTCTCTCACAGAGGTTGGTAATAGTAGTTTTTCTAGGACGAAGGACTCGTTCTCCCTCGTGTCCCGTCGCAAGCCTTCGTTTTTCGCGATTCTGGTAATCACGAACTACAGTCGATACAGCCACTCGATCTTGCAGCCGGTTTTCGTAAGTCCTCTTTGTGATTATAAATTCTCACAAATGCAGGCATATATTTCTTTTTTTCTACTTCTTCTTATTCTTCTTCTACATCTTGTTCTTTTTATTCTTCTTTATCGATGTTGCACGTTCTCGCATGCTACGCTCGTTACAGCCCCTAGCACACAACTTACACATCGAACACACTTCGATGAAAAAAATATTTCAGTTCGGTGATACATGGATGAGAAGATATATGAAAGGATATGAGAGTAGGAACGTTAAACCGAGACTACCGTCAGTAAAACTGGTGCACGTATAAATATCATCGGTATCATTAATATATTTATCAAACGTGGAAATAATAATCATAGAATTTAGTAATAAATAGAAAATGTATCTTTTATACGAACTTCATGGCAACAGAGTCTACCCTCGATACTTGTTGCAGGCATGGAAGATGAGATCTGCCCGTACGCTACTTTCCACTTATTAGGATTCCGTGAAGAAATGGACCCGAGCAAGGCTATGCAATTCCAGACTTTCCCTCACCAAGGAAATGGACATTCCGGAACTATGGGACCACCAGTTGGACATCCGACTAACGCTTCTGCTCACAGTCGCTCTGGATCTCAATCTATGGTACAGAGTCTGTCCAAACAGCTCGTACAGAATTTATCTTGATAATAGTACTATTGACGTATTTTGCGTTTCGATAGCCCCGTCAGAATGGCCGATACTCTAGAGTACCATCCCAAGGAGGTGGCAGCGGAACCCACGTTTTCTCTCCCGAATATGACGATCCTGCTAATTGCGCTCCCGAAGAAGATCAATACGGCTCTCAATATGGACAATACGGTGCTCCTTATGATCATTATGGATCTCGTGGATCGGTTGGCCGTCGTAGCGTTGGATCTGCTCGTAACTTACCTGTCTCTGGATCACCTGAACCACCTCCACCACCACCAAGGAATCACGATCAGAACAACTCGAGTTTCAACGACAGCAAGGAAAGCAACGAGATTAGTGAAGCTGAATGTGACCGTGATCAACTTGTCAACCGCAACTATGGCGGTCAGTACAATGAATCCTGATCGATCCAAGGGACAAAGGGCCGAGGATGAAAATGAGAAACACGCTCGATTTCATGTCCGAATAAATAAAGAAAACAAGTCTGACTTGTATTCGGATCGTCGAGTCGTGTTTTCTCGTACTTGTTCTTGGTTCTTTCAAAATGCTCGTTTCATTAGACATTCGTTAGATACTAGGTGTACAACGCGGACATATCGCATGTCGAGCAAATCGCAACGTACACGAATGGAAGAAAATCGCTCCGAATTCTGTGTTTCTAATCGTATAGCTTTCCACAATTCGCATGCTACGTGTTGTCATAGTAGTTTACCGTTGTGTCAATCGTGCCGTGTGTTTTTCTATTTCAGTGAATGCTCGCGGCAAGGACGGCATGACCACCGAGGAGATGCGTAAACTCATAGAGAGGTCAGTAGAGAGCGAATGTGTTTGATTCGCGATCAAACGACACGAGAGTTACCGTTTCTAATATTGTATCTCGACTGAAAATTCATATTTCTAAGATATCTATTGAATATTGTCAATTCAATTCATCTCATCATCATTCATTTATCATTTAGTCATGACATAAAAGATCATTAATCGTCTTTCAATCATCCATTTGTTATTAATTTGAAGTTTTTTATTTTAAAGATTCGAACAATAATACTTTTGTATCAATTATATTACAATATTATAGTTACGAAAAATAATCGAATGCACGGTAGATTAGCTGAAGGCTTTACAAATACATTTTAATATTGTATCTTTTATCTTTGTCTTTTTCTTGTTTCATGACTCTTTACGCAGGAAGCCGTAAGTTTCTTGATCGTAGAACAGTACAGAGTGTATTTCTATAAAGATAGATGCAATTTCGTTACAACATGTTTACAAACGCTGTACCTTTGATAGTAAAATTTTTGAGAAAAAGAAAAAAAAACAGCAGGCCAGCCGATATGCTTACAAAACATTGCTTGATTATCAACGTCGACGAAAGACTTCTCTATGCGAACATGATATTTTGCATGCAGTTTTTGATGGCCCACGCTCTTGGCGTAATTAATAACGTTCTTTTTTGACTAATCCAAGGACGATTAGCGATAGAAATAATTTAAAAAATGCCTCTACTGCGACTCATGCTATATTATTACCATATTATACGCTGTTATCATCATCGCCATATTATCCTGCTGTGCTAACATGCTAATCATTTATTACTAAGCCTTTAATAAATAACATTATTAAATTCTTACAATTATAAGCAATATACTGTAACTAATACTTATCCATCGTTGCTGCTGTAACTCTAGTGCATGGATGAAAATCTTTGGTTCGCGTACAGATGCTGCTAAATTATTATATAATTATTTTTTTTTTAGGACGCAACGGACAAAATTAGCCTTTCTAATAATCGCTCGAATAATTCTTTCGCTTTCTGCAGTGTTATATGCATCTGTACGAGGATGCAAAAAAGAGTTGAAAGAAGTGCTCTTTCAAAAAAAAAAAAAAAACAAGAACAAAAAAAGAAAAAAAAAGAAAAAAAAACAGAAAGAATAAAAAAAAAAAGAAGAAAAAAGAAAAAATAAAAAAGGAACGTAGATAGCCTTTATCGAAGAACGTTTCTCAAAATTATAATCGATGTTGCAGAAACGAAGCCCCCGGCCGGCAAACCGGCAGTCCCCACGGCGGTCACGGGGGACTCCTCACACCCTACGATACTGTGGCAGTGTAACCTGTAAATCCATCATCATCCATGGTCTTCCGACTCTCTCGTTGACTGCGACCGAAGATTCGAGAGAAACGGAAACGAAGCGCACGCTAACTCTTCCCCCGGTGCTGTCGTCGGTCCAATTTGTAATGATTTTAACGATTTAAAAAAGGAAAAAAAGAAAAACTAAAAAAAAACAGAAAAACAAAAACAAATCACAAAATAACATCGTCGCGAATAGATTCTAAAATTCGATGAATTAAATTTGAAAAAGGTTGTGTACATGTTTATCAGATGTACGTACGTACGAGACAACGAGCATCGTCCTCGCGACGAGGACCACCTCCTTCGGCCGTTCTTGACCATATCTCGAATAACTTCTATATTCTCGTTGGCCTTTTCTCTTTGTTTTGTCTCTCATTTAGATTTCTTCTAATTTTTAATTTTTCGTTTCATTTATTAGTATTGACTTTTGATTTTCCCTCATTTTATCAAAGGCCAGACTCGAAACTGCCTCTCTAATTGACTGCCTAACGAGGACGAAGGAGGTCGAAAAGGTCGACGGCTAAAAATAAAAATAATAACAATTGATTAGCGAGTTCGTCATATAAGAGTTGTCTCATCTCGGATCTCACGCGCTTCGTGATACCCGGTACAGGTTCGCGGATGCTCTCGTACGACAGCGAAACAAAACGAAATAACAATAAGGAAATAGCATACAAACATATAGGAAATGCATATATGAAAAAAAAAGAAAAAAAAATAGTAAAACGAAAAAAAAACAACAATAGAAAAAGATCAAGGGAAAAAAGAAAAGAAAAGCGTGCTCTCGGCGACAGTTCATTTTTCGGGGGTTTTACGCGGAAAATCCTAGGTTAAAGATCACGTCTCATTCTATTGGACGCATCGAGACGAAACATGAGATTAGTTACTCGCTTTTAAGTCATGGTTGTGCCACACTGCCGCTATCCGCAGGCATACATACATATATATGTTACGTATATGTACGTACATAACATATAACGGATATAACAGATATATACATAATATACGATTTATAATTTCGTAACGAAGGTTGTGTCCCCCCGGGGATCGAAGATATATCGAGTCTCAATGTCGCGGAGAGCAAGTGTAGAGATCGTCATGTCATTGTATCGTCGTGTCGTCGTGTCGTCGTCGTCGTCGTCGTCGTCCGTTGAGCAAAAACGATAAGAAACAAAAATGAATTAAATCTAAATTGAAATCTCTTGCCGATAGACTTATCCGAAGGAAGAACGCGGCACGTCATCAGAAAAATTATTAAAGAAAAAAAAATAAACAAATATAATCCTCATTACGTACTCTCTTTACAGGCTACGCGCACATAAAAATACATTTACACTCATATTGAATCTCTCGCAATACACAAGTTTCACATACAAGCTATACTTGCTGTCGGTTTTTAATCGTCCTAATATAAAAAAAAAAATATATATATATATACATATATAAATACGTGTATGATGTGAGTCCGGCGCGTGTATACGTATTTATAGATCTACGCGTATGTATTATTGATAATTAATTAGTCCGCTCTAATCACACCTATATTAGCCGCGCTAAATTTTTTGCTCGAGTTGAAGTTCGAAGGATAACGCGACGATGATTATTAGAAACGTAATAAGTGAGTCGAATAAGTAACAAAGCATAATGAGTGAATAAATAAAAGAAACATAGATAGGCATTAAGTTGGACGGATGGTCGCGAGACAATAATCACCGTTTTTCTTAGGCAGCCTAACAATACGTCGATCGTTGTCGATTGATAGATGACCATCATGTTCGATAAGAATAGAGAAGCGAAGTAGAGAAAAGCGGACTTTCCTGGCGAAAGTATCCTCTTTTAGAATTCCATAGTGCTTTTCTCAAAATATCTAGGCTCCTAGATTTCTCGTCTTTCGAACAATTAATCTCGTCGCATGATCGACGTCGTGCAAGGATGCGATGACGGCGTTTGTCTCATAGTTTGTTTTTATCACGTCACTATTTCTAGATATATACATATTATATAAATATATATATATGTATATATATATATATATATATATATATATATATATATATATATATATGATTAACCTAACATATAAATACGTTGTAAGTAGGATATCTCTAGGTGTCGCGTTCATTTGCCGAGGCGACGATACGAAACGGACACCGGTTGGCCGATAATTGTATTATTATTATTATTATTATTATTATTCGTCTTCTTCTTCTTATTATTATTATTACAACAACTATTTACTAATTATTATTACTACTATTGACATTATTAATGCGCGAAGGAAGGACGTTGTCTCTTTTTCTTGTGGACGACGAAAAAAGGATCTCTTAAGCTCTTTTAATAAATCTCTGAAATTTTCATATCCCTCTAGGATACGATTAGGAATTTTCCATAATATTCTAATATTCGGCCAGCCGGCTCCGTTTCGGCGAAGCCGCAGCATTTTACTCATCGATGTGATTTTAGAAGTTTTTGCGCAAAGTCTTGTGTATGTGTTGTTATAATGTAATAACGATCACGCTATATCAGATTAATATCCATATCCAAGTCACTTTTACAAATAACGTATATCACGTTTTAATCACACAACGCTCGCTGAGCTTTTACGCTTTTAACGCTTTTTTGAATCTCTAACACTTGAAAATCATGATGATGGTGATGAAGCTAATGTGGAAAAAAAGAGAAAAGGAAAAAAACGAAAACTTCGCATAGCCATATGTTGTAATCGACCTACACGCATTAACTTAGGCGTTATACATATTTGTCGTCAGTGTTTTAAGAGTAAGCAGGATTAAAGAAAATATGTGATGATTGCGATGTCGTTTAGATCATTAAATGGATGATTTCTTTCTTTTTATAATTAACGACATGCACTATCAAAATCTGAATGGCATTTTACATGCAATAATTTTTTTTCCCCGCAATGATTACTTTAAGAAATGCTGCGAAAACGATTGCAATGATCGATAAATCGATCGATGTATACACCCTCTTTTACATACACACATACGCGTACATACATACATACATACATACATACATACATACATACGTACGTACATACATACGTAAATACATACATACGTACGTAAATACATACATACATACATAGAAACATACATACATACATGCATGCATACATATTTACATATATACATATGTAAGTCGCGAAAAATTAATTGACTGCGTGCATTTCACACCTTTTTTTCTTACGATGATAATGATGATAATAATAATAATAATAATGAGCAAACGCGGTTCTTCGAGCTTACTGTGGACGGAGTGTTGTACGTCATTATTTCCTGTTACTTCACGATATTTTTATTATCTTTATTCGTCGTTGTTTTTTCTTCGTTCTATTAAGTCTATGTGCTTTTTCTTTTTTACGTTTCGTTGCTGATAGGATTATATATTATGAGATTTTATTATTGATTCTCACATATCTTCGCGATAGTAGAGACTCGAGGATCCGCGCGCGGTATACCGTTTCCTCAATGCCCACTATTTTATGTTTTTGTACCAAAGTTGTAGCGTCTAACTTTACGTTAAATAAATAAACCGAAAAAATGAACTCTCTCTCTCTCTCTCTCTCTCTCTCTCTCTCTTTCTGTCTTTTATAGATTAATAAATATTATCTTCATCAGCGTTTCTCAACTTATAGGGCGCGACTCAAAATTAAGGCCTCGTTAAATTTTTCATGAATCGTGAAATGATAACTGCTTTTTTATGCCAAAGCCAGAGGAAATTGATTAAATTTGTAGTAGATTTAGGTGAAAGTTTTCGTAGAATGTTCTTGCGAATTCGTGAGAATACCGCCGTATCTTTAAAATAATATATATACATACAATATATTTGGATAGACTCTGGCCTGTCAGATTCTTTAAAAATTTTATATTACAAAACATTTCGGTCGCAGTATCATTACAAACAAATTTATTGGATCGCATGGAGAAACGTTGATATACGTGAAGTGTTATTCCTTTTAACGAAGTTTGAATAACACTATCTAGTAAGTATTTTTAACACCGAAATATTATCAAATTTCCGTAATTACACCTATCTATATAACTTTATTAGGTAAATTTTTTAAATATTTTGTTGAATATTTAATTATCAGACGATATTATATTTATACATGTTAATTGAGAATTATTCAGTACTCTTTGAAAAATTCATATTAATAATACCAAATTCATTAATTAATGTCATATCACGTAGACATAATTTTATATAATTTCTACTCTATCAAATAATGTTATTTGATCTTATTACAAGAGAAATAATTTATTATTTAGAACTATGATTCGTTTGGTTTTGATTTATATCTGATATATGGATTTTATCAACATAGAACATTACCATCTTTTTCATTTAAAAAGAACATGTGTAAAATGTAGTTATAATTAAAAAGATACTGGTACGTATAAATTAATTTGAAACGAATAAATAGAACTAATATAAGATGAACACACACAAACGTATATTCTTAAGCTTGTTTTGAAGCTTGCTCTTCTGAACGATTAGAGCTTCGACCGAATGTATAGAGTGTCTCATTAACTCTGTTGCGATATCTTCGATAATTTTAATGATACGAGGAAATACCAAAATAACAAATTATATATAACATTATATATATATATATATATATATATATATATATATATATATGTATTATATTATATTAAACAGCTGCACATTATAGTGCGAATTAATTTTTTCACGAGGTTATTTTTCTGGAGATATCGAGATTATCCAAATTTATTTTTTTATATAGGACTACATATTTTCATCATTGTTACATGATAGCTATAATACTATGACCCTCGTGTGACCCTGAGTAAAAGAAAAATTGGACTGTTTGAAGACATTTCAATACCTCAAAGATATTGAAGATATCAAATAGTTTCAATATGTCCGGTTCATAATGCATTAATAGCCTATTAAAAATTTTCGCAACATTACAAATCGATCGTGGTGCAAATATTCAATAGCCTATATATTCATCAGATCTTAAACTTTAATTTTTTGTCTGTGGATTGCGATTAAATCAATAGTTTATGACGATATTTCCATAGCACTGGAAAACATAAAAGAACGCATTACAGCTGCATGTTTTAATATCAATGAGCAAGTTTTAAGGAAGGTCAAAGAGTTGTTCATTAATCATTTAAAAAACGCATTGAAGTTGATGGACATCATTTTGAGCACTTGTTAAAATAAACTTTTCTTTATTAATCTTTCTATCATAGTTATTTCAATATTTGCATTAATTGTTAAATTTTCGTGAATTTTCTTTTTGTACTCAAGATCACGTGAATGTCATAAATTGTTGGATTCGACTTGATCTCTTAATGATGTTAAAAATATGTAATCTCGTTCAAAAAACTTTGATGATCTTGAAATCTCAAAAAAATGAATTTGAAAAAAATTAATTCACATCATAATGTATACCTCTTTGAATCAAGTTGTTTTCTTTCAAGATTTTTTTGTATTATTAAAAGTAATTTAAATATTGTTTTGTAATAAAATCATTGAAACATCCAGTAAGTCCTTTTAATGTATAATTTCCTAATAATGTATAATTTCTTTTAATTGTGTGTTCAAAGGTACAATATCGTAATTTACAGTTTAGATATATCAGTATCATTTTTATATCATTTTATTATATCTCTAATATAATACAAGCTTTAGAATAATAATTCATTATCGATGTACCGACAATACATACATTCATAAATATTTTTTTATGTGTTTCACATGAATTATTAAAGACTATACTTGCCGGTTAAAATGAATTACTTACATTATGATGTATTTTACAAAATATTTTTAAATAACAACTAATAGCTGAATGTAATAAGCATAATTTTTTTTTTAATCATGTATATGCATATAATAAAGAATGAATATCTTTTATCAACTTAAACTGGTAATAATTCTTTTCAATCTGCTGTATCGATCTCATTAAATCTTCATGGAAAGAAACACTAATAATTCATTATTTGTACGTTTGGTGGCGTTCAGTTCGAGGAGTTAATTTGAAATTTTATATTGTTTATCTATATTATATTATACAGAGAATATGAGAAAAGTTTAAAATGAACTGTTATTGAGCACAGTCGGAAACATTCTTTTAACTGGTTTTCTATTTTTCAATTTTGTAAAAACAAACGTAGTTCTTAAATCTATTATATAACAATCGGATAACTTTTTCACTTTTATTTTTATCGGATAATCTTTTCACTTATCAGGTTGAATGAAAATCATTGTAGTATAATCTTAAATTTAAACGAAAAGAAGAGATAATTAATATTGATAAATAATTTACTGTTCGGTGTGTGACCGTTAATAGTTGGTAACATTGTTTGTTTACACGATGGCGTCCGGTGGTGGTGAGTACATCTGGAATTTCTAATCGTTTTCTCACGAAATGAGTTCTTGTTATCTAATTCTTATTATAGACATAAAAATATTCTTAATACGATTATTTTATTTAAAATGATAGAAAATACAACTGAAGAAAGAACTGAAGCGTCCACGCCAGCTCAACCCATCACCAATGTCGTGTCGGAAGCAGCGCACGTAAGAAAGATAACCTAGAAGAACACGAGTTTTGCTTTAAAACGGTGAAATTTTCAATCCATTCTCGTATACGTATGCATTGTAAGGAAGTATAATTAATGTTTCAACGGCATGTCGATGTTGTATAATCGAAGAATTTGTTGAAATTGTTGAAACTCCGATATCAACGTTTTTATAGATTTTTTCGATGCAGTGACAGCTGTTCGGTTATGTTACTGAATAATTTATTATTTTCTTAGCCAGCATACGTAGTAGTACAAGGATTATTTTATTTTGATTAACATAGAACAAGCAAGATAAGTAATCTTCTATCTAAAGTTTCATTTTGTTAAGATTTTCAATAATCTGAATCGTTTTAATTATTTCATAAGTTAAAATTTCAGTAGTTCTTCTGTTCTGTTCGCCTTTTTTTATTGTAATTGATTGCTTTTATATTTCACATGAGGTTAATTTTTAAGATCGATTGTTAAATGTATTTATATGTATACGATAGGGTTGTAGATTTTCGGTAAGTCATTATATTATTAGTGTTGCCTTATCATACCCTAATTTCTAATTAATTTTTTACAGAAAGTGATAGCAATGGACAAAGATCCTGACCTGTCAAGTGTACCTCCAAAGAAATCTCGTGTTGAGGTGCAATCACTACCAACTAGACAGTATCTGGATCAAACGGTGGTTCCCATTTTGCTGCAGGCTTTATCTACTTTAGCCAAAGAAAGACCTACCGATCCTATTAGCTTTCTAGCAGGTTATTTATTGAAGCACAAAAGTCAATACGACAACGGTGGATCACCGCCAACTAGTCAGTAATTTTATTTTATATCAAACACACTTATCTTGGAAAAATATATTTGTGGCTGAAAATTTTGCAACGATTAGGCTGGTGAAGATATCAATCAAAGTGTATCTCTGTAATATCAAATTGAATAAAAATGAATTAGCTTTTTATCTTTTAAAGGATTGTGCATATCTGTAAGTTTAAAACTCTTTGCTAGGTTGAAATAAATAATACAGAAACATTGATTCAAAAGTAGCTTGATGTTTTAAATTTATTTATTTGTTCATAATTAGATTGCAAAGGTGGAAAGATGTAACCTGAATTCTTTATTAGGATAGTATATAGGAAGAAGGTTGCTAAAAGATGGTGAAAAGGCAGAAGAGGGGTTAGAACTTTCCAGAGAATGTGTTTGTACACTGAGTTTCTCAAAAGTACTCGGTATACCGTCGGAACTCAAAGTACAACGTAATATAAACACTGTACAAGACGCAAAGAGAGTATAAGTTTAAGTCGAAAGTTCAACATAGTACTATCTACGAGAGTTGAATCTATAAGAAAGCTCGAGTTTCCGATGATAGAAGCGAAAATACGATTTTCATTCGAAAAACATTTCTCAGTACGATGAAAGAAGCGATCATCGAAATAATCGGTAGGGCAAATGTGAATAACTTTTCTTTTGTGTCGATTTTAATTGGAGAGATTATTTAATTGGAAGCAATTAAACGTAATTGCGCAATGAATCGTTGTTAAATACGCTTCACAGTTCGATGAACTCGATACACCTTCCTCCCTTCTTTTCTATATCATACGTGTAATGCTTCCACATCTTTTCTTTTGAAACTGTTTACATTCAGTATTTTATCGTCAATGTTCGATCAATCGTTGTTGAGTTTATTTGCAACGAATATGAAACATCTACGTGGTGGAGTATATATAGTGATTAATACTTTTTCAAGCTTAAAAGTTTCATTTACGATATTCCGTTTATCGATCGAAAATTTTATTATAAATATTGTCATATTATTTTTGTGTTAACAACTCAAATACGTAGGATCTATATCTAGAAAACTATAGAGATAAAGCTGCATTAAAATTGACTTTGTTCAATAAGATAGAATCATTTAACGTCAAACATTTTATAGTCAAGAATGTATTATATTTTCCGCCGGGTTCTCTCTAATTACTTGTTTAATTACTCTATTAAGTTCGGAAAATTAACTTACCTATATCTCCGTATTCCGAAAGAATAGTAAAGATGAATAGCAAAAATATCAGGATAATTCTACGATCAACATAATATTCGCAGTGTATCACCTGAAAGAGATTGATTAACGAAAAGAGAATATCATTGATTTATCCAATATATTTTTTCATGTCATTATTTTGCCATTTTTTATTTAAAAATAAAACTAACACTCATTGATTCGATTCGATCTCGATAAGAGAAAACCAATCAGATAGTTCATCGCTCGAAGAATTTATTCCATGAAATAGAAATATTTCAAATTAATACGAATTTCCGAGATGAGAATAACGATCGTATGAAGGTTGCTATTAATTTACTTGTAGTAAAGGAGAGAAACTTCGTGTTGACGAAGTTTCAGAATCACTTGCGAACATACGTAGTAAGTACATACATATATGGTGGTAGTAAAGAGTTGCAATGGATTTTGTTACTGATCTTGTTTATCTCATATGTCTTACGTAGTCTCTTGTAAGGTAGCGAATTGAATTGAATGAGTATGCATGTACGAATCACAGTGAAATATAGAGATTCGTATACACATAGACAAGGATAGTTTGTCTGTGTTCAAACAGCTACGTGCCACGGGCACGATCCACGATTCACGATCCACGGCCCACGGCCCACGGCCCACGGTCCACGGGTAACCAGTCTCGTGGCTAATGGCTAAACCGTGTCACGGCTTTCGCCGTTCGCGCACGACCTGCAGATTCACGCCTGCACGCCCGCACAGAGACTCGGTCCAATTGGCACGCATATTGGAATTCTATTACCGGGATTACGGCCAGTAATTGCTCGGTTTAGCGCAATATCGTACATTCGTCTCTCTCTCTCTCTCTTTCTCTCTCTCTCTCTCTCCTTCTCTCTCTCTCTCGTTCTCGCACTCGCACTCACATTCGCTCTCGTTCTCGTTCTCGTTCCCGTTCACGCTTTACGCCAAGCGGCAGTAGCCTTGTGATTGTCAAACGTGGATTAGACATACATCTTACTTTGCTCGATTAGCCACTGCGTTACGTGTAATTTCTCGATCTAAGATCCTTCGCAGTTTCTGGTCCTTTCAAAATATGATTTGCAGCTGAATTCTATCATAAGATACAAACGAGGGTAAAGGTTTTAGAAAGAGAACTAAGTAATTAAATTTGAAACGTAATAGGAAAAAAGTTTCGAATTAGTTCGATTTTTATTTGGACATTTTTCCTCCTTTACGATGCTTCCTTGATCTATCTTTTCTTTTCTTTTGGTTCTTTTTTTCTCTTTTATTCTATGCTTCGAGTAATTAACGTGAAAAAAGTCTTCATAGTCTTTGAAGTACGAATTCACGTTTAATCATCAGTACGGATTCATTATTAATTTAAAGTTTATTTTATAAATGAGTTCTTTCAGCATACTATGATGGATGTTTTTACCGATGGGTCAAAAATTTCTAAGATGGAATATTTCTTAATGGTTCATAATTGAAGTTATAGAAAAATATTTTTCTTTCTTTTTTCTTTTTTCTCTTTTCTCATTCCATCGAGGATAGTTTGGTTTCATTTTACTCTTTAGATCACAATAAGAGATTCAATTATGTTCGAAATATATCAGACATGGATCGACATAATTAGAGTTAATTGTTTTGGCTTTTGGAGTTTCGATTATTTGTGAAATGTTTTCGACGTGTATTAGTGAATTCTCATGAACAAACAGGTTCTTCATCCTCAACGATAAACTTCGAAAAGAGTTAATCGTAGTGGAAACGGGTATGGTAAGAATGCGGGGACGTAACAGGCTACTGCTGCTGCTGTTGTTGCTGCTACTCCTAATGCTCGTGGTGTTTTCTACCGCGAATTATTCTATGGTTACTCACTCTTTCTCTCTCTTTCTCTTCTTCTTTCTTTCCCCTCTCTTTTTCTGTGGACTTTCTCCACAGATTTTCATTTCAGATCTGGCTCTAGCGGTACCGAGCGAAGGAGAAAATATAAGTCGCTTCGTTGATTTCAATCTGTTTGACGGCCAGCTCGTTCTCTCTCTCACTCACTCTTTCTCTCTCTCTCTCTCTCTCTCTCTTTCTTTTTCTCTCTATTTCTCTTACGTTCTCTCAGGGAATGGGCGAAGACAATGAGACAAGAGCCGTGGCCGGAGACATCCGTTATCGTGGCATGGCATCACCGGAGAGTACTCGCTCATCCCATTTCTTCTCCCTCTTTTCTCGTTTGAGGTCAGGCTCGAAATTCATTCGCCTTGGTAAGCCCTTCCGAAGGTCTCCTAGTAGTAATTGCGAGTATCATTCAGCTGTACCTTGTTAAGGCTCTTTTTCTTTCTTTTTTTTTACTTTTTCGTCTGGAAATTTGTGATAATTTATGTAATCAAGAAAGAGAGTATGGAAAACGAGATAGATTAAAGAGATTCAGTTATCGTAAATTTTAACGAGTCAAGTATCGAGATCCCTTGTGTTAATAATAATGAACAAAGCTTTTTCTAAAATTCTTTCTTATATTTATATGAAAAAAATAATAGGATCTCGATTAGATAAGAATTTCCAAATGCATATTGGCCACTCAAATTATTCATGTTTGAATTTTTATAAGAAATGTATATAAAAAAAGAAATATAAATATAAAATATTCTAAATAATACTTTTCCTTACTTATCATAACATAATTAATGTAATTTTATAAAATAGTGTTAGACTTTGACTGACGTTAAAAAGTTAGAGATAGATCGATATTGTTTCGACAAAGTATTTTCACAAAAGGTTTACTTTACCTTGAAGGTAACTTCATTCGAAGATCCACCTCCGATGAATACGGTTTCCCGATCGCGCAGCTGGGATGCGACTCCCTGACTACCTCTTCCATCTCTTTTCATCCTTTCAACTCCTCTGCTCAATGGGGTAGGCGTCTCTCGAAAAGCGCTTAATCCCTTATCGAACGAAGGGCCAGGATCCCGGTATTACTCCAAACGTTGATTTGTGGTCGTTCCGGTAACATTATTTATAATTTACCAGGCATTAATAGCAGGGACGAGAATGTATATGGCCATGTCGGAGGACAGTCTATCTCTCCCTTTCTTTCTCCCTCTTTCTCTCTCTTTCTCTTTCTATTTTCGTCTTTGTATTTTCCTTCTCGCACGTAATTCCGCTTATTTTTCGTCCTCCCTGGGAAATTGATGAAGAGGCTACAAAATGAGATAGAAGACAAACATCCTTTTGCTCAGAGTCAGGCATATGTTAGAATATGTGTATGCATATATATATACATATATAAGGATATGTGTGTGTGTGTGTGTGTGTGGTTATATATGTATGTATGTATGTATGTATGTATGTATGTACTTATTTTTGAAAGTTACCAATGAATTCAATCGTCGAGAGTAAAGGATATCATCGTACAATGGATCGAAAAAAGTTTGTAGGGTGAAGAAGAATAAGAAGACAAATGACGTCTCTTCTAATCCAATATTCTTCATTGTATGTATGTACACATACACATATCGTTTACATAATCGTCGGAGATGGAAATGTTGGAGGATGCACTTTGCAGCTCGGTTTATGTTAGCCAAGGAAACGTGCCTTCGATCTTGCGAATTTTTCAAGATATACCTAGAAGATACTAACATTGGAGTAGAAAAAGGGTAGGGAGAATAAAACAAGGCGAAGGGATGATCGAAGAGGAAGAAAAAGAGAGAAAGAAGAGAGGATTGGTGATGCACGGTTAGACGTCGAAAATGTAGGTGGCAGGACGTACGAATACGTTATTTCTTCGGCACTGTTATTTCGCGTGGTAGTCCACGAAAGACCGCTGTTATACGGGAAGTCGTGATAACGGAATCAGATAGCTGCCATGCCATCCCTTACCCGTGTGGAATAATACCTTACGGAGGCATATTTCACTTCTGCCAGAGCAATATTTTTGCTCGCGGAACAAGCAACAAGCCCCTAGCATCATCGTCTCTCTA